CTCGGAGCTTCTGGCGCTTGGGGGGCCCGCGACGCGGAGCTTGGGGGGCTTGGAGCTTCTGGGCCATGGAGCTTGGAGCTCGGAGCTTGGGGGGCTCGGAGCTTCTGGTTGGGGGGCACGTGGAGCTCGGAGCTTGGGGGGCTTGGAGCTTCTGGTTGGGGGGCACGTGGAGCTCGGAGCTTGGGGGGCTCAGAGCTTCTGGCCCATGGGGCTTGGAGCTCGTGGTTGGGGCCTCATGGGGCTTGGAGCTTCTGGCCCATGTGGCTCAGAGCTCGTGGTTGGGGGGCCCGTTGGGCTCATGGTTGGGGGGCCCGTGGAGCTTGGAGCTTCTGGCCCATGGGACTCATGGTTGGGGCCTCATGGGGCTTGGAGCTTCTGGGCCATGGGGCTCAGCCCGTGGTTGGGGGGCCCATTGGGCTCATGGTTGGGGGGCCCGTGGAGCTTGGAGCTTCTGGGCCATGGGGCTCATGGTTGGGGCCTCATGGGGCTTGGAGCTTCTGGGCCATGGGGCTTGGAGTCCCTTGTTGGGGGGCCCCATGGGGCTTGGGGCGCCCGCGGGGCCCGCGGGGCCCGCGGGGCCCGTGGGGCCGGTGTGTCAGCCGTGGCTGCGCCCGCAGGTGGTCATCATGCGCGACTACCAGCACGAGAACGTGGTGCAGATGTACAACAGCTACCTGGTGGCCGACGAGCTCTGGGTGGTCATGGAGTTCCTGGAGGGCGGCGCGCTCACCGACATCGTCACCCACACCAGGTAGGCGCCGGCGCCAGGCGGCTCCGGGCGGCGCCGCCGGCAGCGACAGGCGCTGAGGCCGCCTGTCCCGCAGGATGAACGAGGAGCAGATCGCGGCTGTGTGCCTGGCCGTGCTCAAGGCGCTGGCTGTGCTGCACGCGCAGGGCGTCATCCACCGCGACATCAAGAGCGACTCCATCCTGCTGGCGCACGACGGGCGGGTAGGACCCCCCCCTGCTTTTCCCGGGAAGCCTCTCCCTGCTTCTCCCGGGAACATCCGGCCCCTTTTCCCGCCGCCTTTCCCAGGTGAAGCTCTCCGACTTCGGCTTCTGCGCCCAGGTGAACAAGGAGGTGCCGCGGCGCAAGTCGCTCGTGGGGACGCCCTACTGGATGGCGCCCGAGCTCATCTCCCGCCTGCCCTACGGGCCCGAGGTGAGGCCGGGCGCTGGCAACCCGCGCGCGCCGGCTGTAGCCGGCTGCCGACTGTAG